GTGCATCCACATCCACTGTCATTTGTGTTTCTGTATTTCCCCTTCTAAATTCCTTGTATAAAAACAAAACCACAAACTCCAATCTAGGAGAACTGCCCAAAAAAATCTGTTGAAAGGACCTAAAGGGAACTATAAGAGAGCTGGAGGGTGACCTTTCAGAAGGGCATACAGTAATACGACAAGGGGAATAGCTTCAAAGTGACAGAGCATAGGGTTAGATTGGATGTAGGAAGAAATTCTTCAACTGTGAGGGTGGTGAGGCACTGGCACAGGTTGCCCAGAGAAGCTGTGGCTGCCCCATCCCTGGAGGTGTTCAAGGCCAGGCTGGATGGAGCTCTGAGCAACCTCTCCTTGTGGAAGGTGTCCCTGCCCATGGCAGGGAGTTAGAACTAGATGAGCATTAAGGTCACTTCCAACCCAAAGCACTCTGAATCTATGATGTCAAGTGCCATTCAAGCCGAGAGAAATGAGACAAAGGTAAAATTAGGCTTCTCCTCACAATTCTTAATTTACGCTTCTTGTGAAAAATGTACCATGACGCTGTCAATCACATGATCCTGTACTGTTTTTGGGTTTGTTTCGTTTCCCCTCCCTTCAAAGTTTCTGATTCATTCAGCAAATGAAGCGGTGTGTGTCACGTAGTATGTGAGGCTGCAGCTCCTACTTCTAATAGTAATAGCTGCAGATAGTAACTATGTAATTGGGGTCTGGTGTGAGGTTACTAGGAACTCTGTGCTATGTGTAGTATGTGTTGTGCTACAGTGTACCTGTACTTGGGCAGGAAGCTGCCTCAAACTGAGAATCTAAAGCAGATTTGTTTTGGGTTGGTTTTTTTTTTGTTTTTTTTGAGAGTGACACCATGAGCTTTGGTTTTGTATTTCAACTCCATGTCTGGAACAAGGATCCCATGGTGGCAGAGCATCGTGGTGCTGTGGCTGCAGGAGGAGCCACCTGCAGCCATCAGGATGTTTGGATGCAGTGCGCAGCCTTAGTGGCATAAATTCGTGGTGACATAGAGTGAGAGACTGTGCACAGCACATCTTCATCCACAACTATCCTGAGTGCTGGTCATGTTCAGCCACAGTTTGGAGTTGAAATTTGAGCATTTTTGGGTGCTACCTTGAGTAAAGATGTGAAAGTTATGGTCCTAGATGTGTACAGAGGGTAACAGAGGAGAGACTGAATGGGCAAGCATCTCTGTAAATAGAACTACAGCCAGATACTCAGATAGGGGAATTTTCATGACTTGCTAGCCCAGCTCTTTCCAGAGAAGTGTGACTGTACCAGGTAATCGGTCACTCAGACTACTGCTTTGAATTCTGCAGCTTGATGGGCAGCAGGACCGAGCACAACCATGTCATTTGGGGAAGTATTTTGAGACTGCTCTAGAATAGTTAGGGAGTGAGTGGCACAGCTGCACTCATGTCTTGCGTTGGAGATGAGCAGCTGAGAGCTGCAGAATCATGAAACATCAGGCCCTGCTTGTGAATTTCCTGCATGAAGTGACTTGTTTCATGTGGATTTCAGGGTGTCACTCCTCCAGCTATTGCCTTCCCTTCACATGCCTTAACTCCCAGCACCTTGTATCCAAGAGTGACAAAGTCACAGTAATTCTTTATTCTCAAATTTGCCTGTTTGTTTCCAGGAGCTCCCAACACTGCTGAATTGAGGATTTGTCGTGTGAACAAGAACTGTGGAAGTGTAAAAGGAGGAGATGAAATATTTCTACTGTGTGACAAAGTTCAGAAAGGTAGTCTGGACTAGGTTTTCTCTCTTCCTTTGTCCCATATGGCTGACACTACCACTTTCCTGCTGGTGAAGTGAAACCCTTCACCACATGCTCCTAAGTGGTTTGGTTTTATAGCTGGGTGGAACAGTGTTCAGGTTCAAGTGCTCTCAGCACCTCTTGTGCCTTTTAAGTCAAGCCATTCTGCATCTGAATTCTGAGTCAGCTCCTTCTTTTCCTCCCCTTTTCCCTTTTTTTTTTGCTGCAAGTTTTTCAGCTTAACAAGCATCTTGTTTCTAATGGACTAGATGATATAGAAGTCAGATTTGTATTGGACAACTGGGAGGCCAAAGGTTCCTTCTCTCAAGCCGATGTTCACCGTCAAGTGGCCATTGTGTTCAGAACTCCTCCGTTCCTCAAGGACATCACCGAGCCCGTCACAGTGAAGATGCAGCTGCGAAGGCCTTCTGACCAGGAAGTCTCTGAACCTATGGATTTCAGATACCTACCAGATGAGAAGGGTATGGTTCCAATGAGTTGTGTTTCTGAGTAGCCGTTAATGCAGGACTCATGGGAGCAGCTTAATTAGTAAAAATTCTACAACACTACTTCTGAAAAGTAGAGTTTTGGGGTTTAAAAGTAACAATAGTCAGCTGAAATACCAAGAAGCACTGTTGGTAACAGTGTAATGGTTTGTTAGTGCTGCCATGTCAAGTACTTTTCTTTAAATTTATCTTACTGCAGCCAGGTGCCACAAGAAGGTTCCTTTGCAAATGGTACCAAAGAGAAACATAACTTCTCCCTTCCACTCCTTCCTCTGCAGATCCATATGGCAACAAAGCAAAAAGGCAGAGATCAACATTGGCTTGGCAAAAGCTCATACAGGACCATGGTAAGGAAAATACTTGTCTTTTTCCTTGTTTGATGAAACTTAAATGTAGATGGAGCTGTTTTCTATAAGAGCAAACGTTCAGTGCACACTCATGCTTTCTTTCTTGCATTGCAGGATCAAACACAACGGAAAGGCCCAAAGTAGCTCCATTTGCTGAAGGGAAGCAGATTAAGAAAGGTAGGAGTTTGTCTGCAATCTTAACAGTGGTTTGAAACACATAGTGCCCTCCTCTTTGCTTGAAATTCTAGTCTTCTCTTGAGGGTTTCTTCCTGTAAAGTGATACTTTTTACTATACAAACTTAAACACATCAGTTCTTTATGTAACTGTAGCTATCTGCTTCTGCATGGGGAGAGGGTTGAGGTGGACAGCTGTCTTGGTGCTGTCCAGAAATCTGGGGTCCAGCCTGGAGAGCAGTTAAGCAAGTATGAAAGTTGAAATGCACATGTAGTCTTACTCAGATCACACTGTTCTTTTTGCATTGTAATTTAAAAAAAAAATCAAAAACTGTCATTAAAACTCAGCCACAT